ATTTGAGTTACTGTTATTCATTTGGATTGTATTGTTGGTATACTTCTGTGAAACGGTTTAAGAACAGATACCATGATAAATCGAGAGCAAATTGATTGTAGAAAACAGTTATAAAAAGAAAAATGTGAATCACTACAAGAGGTGCTTTTCTGATTGTTTTTTAGAATGTATTCAGAGCCTTGATCAAGAAAGGTGAGCCTGGATTAATTAATACAGGCAGAATAGCTATTTCACGTGGAAATTGAGAACATACAGGATAAAATCAACCTGGTTAGAGAAACAGTGTCAACGAGAGGCTGGAAATGGATAAAAGCAGTAAAGCAACATACAAGAAATACCCCACCATAATGACCTGTGTTCATGTGCTACTGCATACACAGTGTGACACTGGCCTGGACACTGGGTGATTTAAGAAACCAGAAGATAAGGTGGATGTGCTACATGTCCTAAAATCTAACTGACCTTTCTTAATCTAGGTAGTAGTTTTTCATTGAAATTTGTTACTGATGGCATTGTCCAGGGTTCTTTTTGGTCTTAGCAGCATGTGGTAGATAAGCAGAAATAAGTCAGGTTTAAATGCGGCCACTGGTTAGTTTTACACTTGAGGAGGTGAAAGCCGTGGGCCATATTTGATGATGAGATGGAGAACCACTTGTTGAAAGGTTTTGGTGGTGGGCAGCGGGGTCTTTGGATGGCACGGGGAGCAGCACGTGGTTTGAGATACTCTGGCCCGTGATCAGAGGTTGCACATTCGAGTGCTGAGGCTGGGTAACGTCTGTAGCTGGGGTGTGTTGGGTTGCTTTGTTCTGAAGGCTGCTGGGCCAGTTCTTGCTGTGAAACTTAGTTTATGTTCACCTTGCCATATTTTAAAGCCTTTTTGATTTGAGGCAGTGAGCGGGAGCCTGGGTAATATCTTTCAGCTGCAGTGGATCCCGGTGGTGAAATATCCTTTTGCTCCGAGTCTTTGGCTCAGATACCTTTTGGAACTCAGATGTTTATTCAGCTATTGCACGTGAACGTCTCTTAGATATAAAACGTGCTAGGTATTGGGTTTAACATTTCTGTGAGCTGCGGTGCACAGCCTGCTTTGGATCGCTCTGCTTCCTTATTCTGGAGGCTGACATACGAACTGCAAAGGAATGTCTGGTGCTGAAGTTGTGCAGGAGACATCAGACCTGAAAATGCAAGCAATTTCCTGTCTAGCAACGGTGTTTCTGATATTTTCATTGCACGTATGATCCACTCTTCAGCTGAGATTTTCCTCTTGAGTTTTTAGGGGGTTTTCTTTCATACAGGACTGATAGCAGAAGGTTGCAATACAGCTCTCAAGTTTGGGGTTTCTTTTAAAGGGAGCTGGATTCCTGTTGTCGGTACAGGATGGCATTTCTGCTGTGAAGACCAGAAAGGGGTTTACATTTCTGAAAATATCTCTTATATGACTTTTATTTAAACTGATTTTGTGCCAGTTGCCATCTCACTGTTCAAAGGTCCTCTTGCTCGAGCTCTCCTTTTATTTCTTTTCTAGCTGGGACAGAGCTTACTTAAGAAATACATTTCCTTTATATGAGGATTCAACATCCTCCAATTGACCACATAGACATTTGTGAGCAGGTACAGGTGGTGATCGTGTGCTTTTTTATGTACTTTTTAACAAAGTTTAGAGTAGTTGCAGCAGTAAAGGAGTTTTGGTTTTTGTTTTTTCTTTATTTGGTGGCATCCCCTGTTGAGGCAATTCTGACTTCACTTGGTAATTAAACCTCATTTGTGAAAGACCTTTTCCCCATTAATTTGATCCATTAAAGAAACGCTCTTTGAAGCTGGTTAATCTTCCCATTTAAATGGCTGGGTTTTACTCAGATTGGTTTCAGCTTAGTTTTAAACAGCAGCTAAAAATAGCCAAGTGTTGTGCTGTGGAGTTTAAACATCTATCTATAGTAGTAGCCTTTCTAGAAAGGAAATACCTCACAAGAGGCAGAGGAGACTGCTGCTCAGACACCACCGGTTGGTACCAGCATTGCACTTGAGTTTTTGCTCATTGCAAAGTCAGGCAGCGCCTGGTTCTCTTACCCTGGGATTATTTTTTAACGGAAGCACTATGAGCTTGATTTGAGCAGTGGTTTATTCGGCAATTAATAATTCAAAAGTTGTGAGCAGTTTTGGCTGTTTATGTTTAAGTCTGCTGCGAAGTGTGTACTAAAAATCCAGGAACTGGCCAAAAATGGAAGGGAAAAGGCTGAAATCACAACTTGTCAGCTCTTGCTTGAAGCGCACAGCATTACTGCCAAGGCACGGGGGTTTTAACTTGGAGTGACAAAAGTGCAGGTGAAAAGGAAGCCGTGACAAAACTGCAGGCATATCGGCTGCTTCTGCTGTAGGGGGAAACTTCTGCAGGTGAAGGGACCTTGAATGAGTGGCCACCAAAGAAAACTTGGAGCTACAAAGGTGCATTTGTCTAAGGCAGCGTAATGACTTGTTTGAACTCTGTCAGTGAAACCTGTGGCCTGAGCAAGATGACAGAGCTGGTTTTTCACCTCCACTCTTAGTTTTCCGCCAAGAGAAAAGTCACTTGAGGCTTGTCTTCAGTAAGAAGTGTTTAAAATCAATCAGCTTATGTAGCTAGAATACCTTTTCAGTGCTGTTAAAGGTCAGCCTTCTCGCAATGGCTGTTTCCAGATATACCTGTACGTCCGGAGCCTCAGGCTTCTCAGACCGAGGCATCCATGAGTAGAGCAGGAACATCTGTTGCCATGGGGGGAAAGAATGTACAAGATGGGAAATATTATCAAATATTTTAGGCTGCCCTACTGAGGAACATGAGCTCACATCCACAGGAACCAGTACAACTATTGTACGTCTTCAGTTTCTCCTACTATAACACCTGTAAGTTAGTTTTCCAGAGATCTCCATTGATATTATGTTAATGCTTTTCATTACACAGAATTGGTATTTTTGTGATCTGGTAGCCTGATTGTGCCACCAAAATAAAAACATAATCCTGTTCTTAGCTCTTCAAAATTTGATTCTGAAAATCAAGCTTTTAACACTTATTTTTCTGCTGGCAGGGGGTGGGGATGGATGGGGCTGCTGTGGAGATTTATGAAGCTAGAAAAGATGAAGGTAATTACAGGAGAAGTTCTGATGGCTTGTTTTGTCTTTATCAGAGCTTACTAAACTTACGTTTTTCAAGGCATCGATCCTCCAATGTCAGCCCTAACAGCATTGTCACGCGTGTGTTTGCACAAACTAGGCAGGTTTTTGGCTATTGTGGGTAATAATGGTCAGGGAAAGGACTGAAAATGGGTTCCTTTTGGTATTTACCTGGCTGCTTACTTTGAATCTGGTTCATTATTTCCCAGGCAATATCAGCTTGTAAATAGCTTTCCTCTACGATTCGTGGTTCTTTAACTACCTCAAGGGAGGTTGTGGAGAGGTGGGTGCTGGTCTCTTCTCCCAGGTGATGGGGATAGAACAAGGGGAAACGGCACCAAGCTGTGCCAAGGGAGGTTCAGGTCAGAGATAAGGAGGAAGTTCTGTACTGAGAGGGTCGTCAGAAGCTGGAACAGGCTGCCCAGGGAGGTGGTGGAGTCACCATCCCTGGATGGATTTAAAGAGCAGGTAGATGAGGTACTTAGGGATATGGTTTAGGGGGTAGACAGGAGCGGTTGGACGTGATGATCTCAGAGGGCTTTTCCAACCGGGCCATTCTGCGATTCGGTGATTGTGTGGTACCTCTCCCAAGACATGTGCCAATTAAAAGGTGTTTTTGCATAGATCCACGGACGTAGCAATGTGAACTTGGCAGTGGTAGTACATGACTTGTAGTGAAATTTGAAAAAAATAAATAGGAAATAACGCAGTGGTTTATTTTCTGTCTTTTTCAACTAATAACACTTAATCTCTTTATAACATTAAAAGGCGTGCAACTTTGAATTATAAAACCAGTGGTTATAGGCTAAAGTTTATCTTACGACTTTCATGGAAGTCAGTGGAAAAAAGGGGATCCTGCAGAGGAACGCAGCTGCCTTTTGTATCTCAGGTGTATGCAAAATGAAGACAGGGTGCCTTCAGAAAACATAACTGTATAGAAATGGACAATATGACTGCATGCTTTTGCATCGTCTGTTTAAAAATGAAAGCACGTTTAACTGCAGTGGCGTAATTTCCTCGGGAACCACAGCAGCATCGAGTTCTTGTTCAAATGTAAGAAAAATTTGGAGCTCTTGCCCGAAAGTGCTTAGTTCAAACCAGATGTGACAGACGCATGAGAGAAACGTGAAGTGGTGTGGGTACTGGGCAGAGGGAGAACCACCTGCGTTACTGACTGACGGCGTCTCGGTTGTCTCGGTGCTTGCTCTGTGTGAGCTGTCCTGTGCTTTACACGTCCTGCTGGAGTCGCATCTGACAGGACGATGGAAGGAGAATGAGGCAACTTCTTTACAGCTGAAGTGTCCCATGATAGGGGAGACTATGGACAGGGCTACGCTGGGGAAAGAGAGCTGGGAAAGGGACTTTTTGGGTCACTTGAAAAGCAGGATGCCTCAAGCTATGTCAGTGTCCCTGCTTATCTGACCTGTGAGGTGGGCTTTGTAAGGATGGTAGAAAGGGAAGAACTTGGAGAGCGTACACACTGCTACTGGAGCTGGATGTAACTTATGCGGTAGTATTTTAATAGACCTAAGGGGTTAGGAAAGAGGAAGGACTTGGAGACTAGAGAGGCAGCAGTCAAGGTCCGAGATAAGCACCTCAGGAATCGTTCTGAGAACGCAGATGTCCATTTGAAGACCTAATCTTGTTGGAAGACCATGGGTTTGAATTTATTTCTGGCACAATTCTACACACAGAATTACATTTGCACTTTTAGACTGAGGTTTTAAATGATAACTGGTTTAACTTTGATAACTGGTTAATTGGCTACTGGGCAGCTTAGTTTCAGATTTAACTTGCACAGAGTTCCTATATCAGCTCCCTATATCAACTCCAAACTTTGTTCATACAGGATTAGCTCGGAGCGCAGAAAAGAGAAGTCAAGAGATGCAGCGCGGTGCCGACGGAGCAAGGAATCAGAAGTATTTTACGAGCTTGCTCATCAGCTGCCTCTGCCCCACACTGTGAGCGCACACCTGGACAAGGCGTCCATTATGAGACTGACCATCAGCTACTTGCGCATGAGAAAGCTGCTGGATGCTGGTAAGTGAATAGCGTAGCAGAGTCTGGAAAAGGAGCCGGAGATGTATCGAGGAAGACTCCATTGCTAAAACATCAGCAGTTAAATTAATAGACACGTGAATAGTTGCATCCTTTCTCTGGACAGATGGAAGAAGACCTTACAGTAGAAATAGGCTGTTGGTGATGGCAGAGGGAAAATAAAGCCACTGCTCAATGGACTTGTTTTCCCTTTCTGCTCTGAGGATCCCAGTTGGCTCACCACGGCCATAATGCCATTTCCAGTCTCAGTTATTTGATCCTTCTCCCACAGTTCATTTCTCTCATGTAACCCTCTTTTTCCCCTCTGGAGTCGGTTGCTCCACCTGTGCTTTACTAAACCGTAGGTGGTTGCTGTAAGGCTGACTTGGCTAACTCTAGGTGTTTCTTCTGAATAGAAACTGTGAGGACTTTTTCTGTAAGTTGTACCCCACCGAAGGTGAAGTTAGCTGAGGGATGTGTCTGTACCTCTGCAGTTAAGCCTACACAAGCAGCTGGAGCAGTATCTGAGTTAGCTTGTCAACCAGTCCCTGTACAGCACGCCATGGGTGTTGCACTGGCTATTTGTCCTCGTGCACGCCTGCCTGCACCGCATGGAGGAGTAACTTTGGTAGCCGTACTGTGGAGTGTCTCCTAGAAAGCTCCTGAGAAATGATTGTAATTCCTTTTTGAGATAAATGGCAGTATTTTTGCCACCTAGACTTTTTCCTTAAGGTGGAAGGTTTATTGGTTCGTTGTGTAAAAGCAGAGGTTTAATCTCACTCTGATTTTCTGTGGTTTGTGGTGGCATTACTAGAGCTTGGAGAATGTAATTGATCACTTATCCAAGTGAATTATACTGGTTTTGAACAGTCCTGCAAGCTTTACTCCTTGCAGACTGGTGCCAGGAGTCATTCCTGACGGTAGGTGAAGAGTGACTGATGTTTACTTAAATGAAAATGTGTGGCTGCTTGTAGGTGAGCTGGAGACAGAAGCCAAAATGGAGAAGGAACTGAACTGTTTCTACTTGAAAGCTCTTGATGGATTTGTCATGGTTCTGTCCGAAGATGGAGACATGATTTACATGTCTGAAAACGTGAACAAGTGCATGGGACTCACTCAGGTGAAACACTGACACTTCCCAAGACTGTTTCAAATCCGTAAAAGTTGTTACACTTTACATATATAAAAGTTAGACACCTGTATACCTTTCTCTTTTCTTTGCAGTTTGAGTTGACAGGGCACAGCGTATTTGATTTCACTCATCCATGCGACCACGAAGAGCTGAGAGAAATGCTTACACACAGAAACGGTGAGAAGAAAAAATTGATTTCATTTACTTACGGATAACTCCTGTTGGCAATGGCACAGCTGGGTGTCTGCCAGGAAAAGGTGCTGAGAGAACACGCTACTGTGTTTTGCTGCTTAAAACTCAAAATAAACCTTGTTCAGTGATACCAGCAACAGAAATAACCAGAACGCCTTGGCAATGGCCTAACTGTAGGAGAAATGAAACTGCATTAGTACTCTTCAATCGAAAATGAAATTAATACCTAAAACAGAGTTATCGAGGGCTGAAGTAAGAATTAGCGTGCCTACAGAAGTAAAAATAGAGGTAGCTGATTGAGAATGATTGCATGCCATTGCTATGGGACATGGAGAAGTTAAATTTGTGCAGTTCTCTTGATCTGGACTCATCTTTACAGGACAACTTAAAATGTGTTCTTCCAGAAATCTGTGGTATATTTAAGACGCAAAAGCTACTGCGTTCAGGACACCATAAAACTGATTGGGGAATAGTTGGACAGCCCCAAAAAAGGCTTTGGGATTGATGTTTCTCTGCACCCTTTAATTGGTGCATGAAATTGGTATCTTTTCACACACTTCTGACTTTTCTCCAACCAAAGGAGTAGAACACCGTGTTCCCATATTCTGTGCACTTCTGAATTTAACAAATGCTCACGAATTCCTGCTTTTAAGTCTTGTAAAGTTTCATTAATGACTGTAAAGACTTGGCAGCCTGCGTGCCTCCAAACAAATCTGCTTGACTCAGTTGCTAGAAGTCTAAAATCTGACCTCTCTAATTCCTGATTCATCAAACAAAGGTTGTATGGACTCTGAATCTAGATAGTGATGAATTGCCAAGCCTGACCTCTGCTCCTCCTGTAGCACTGTAAATCAGAAGTCTCCTATGTTGTCACTCTGTTTAATTCAGTGGAAGAGACTTGATAAGATAGCGTAGCGTTAAGAGCCCCAACTTTGATTTTGCAAGCGTTTTCTAAACTTGTCTGCCCTTAGAACTGAAGTATTTCTAAGGCTGGGTTAGACTTCTACCACCCTTTGGAATAAAGCAGTGCATCTGGAGGGGGTGCGGGGTCGGGGGGGAGCTTCACTGAGGCAGTGTAAAAAACCTGGTCTTGTTGTAAAAGCTTGTTCTTAAAAATGGCACATTACTGAGCTTCCTGCAAACCAACTCTGGTACCTCTAAACTGACCAGACTGGAGTATGATGTCTGGAAAGCATTACTACAAAATCTGTTTTGCAAATGAACTTGGCAGACAAAAGTCTAAATTACAGTAATAACAGTATGTTTTTATATTTATTAGTATTCCCAGGTTGCATTCTAGTGCAGCTCTTAGCACAGTGGAGTTATGGTTTTGAATTGAGTATTAAATGCTTCCCTTTGGGGTCGTACGGGTGCAATGGTCCCAAGCTGGAGCACAGGAGGTTCAACCTGAACATAAGGAAAAACTTTTTTACTGTGAGGGTGACAGAGCCCTGGCCCAGGCTGCCCAGAGAGGTTGTGGAGTCTCCTCTGCAGACATTCAAAACCCGCCTGGACGCCTTCCTGTGTAACCTCATCTGGGTGTTCCTGCTCCGGCAGGGGGATTGGACTGGATGAGCTTTGGAGGTCCCTTCCAATCCCTAACGGTCTGGGATTCTGTGATTCTGTGAAACGAACACAGATGTGATTGGCAGCAACTGCACTGCATTCTGATTTTATCAAGTTGTTTCTTAAACTTTCAAAGCTGGCAATTTTAAAAACAATGTCCAGTGCTGAATCAGACTTGAAAAAGTTGCTGCTTAAAGCAGAGCCTTGAGCATCAGAACTTGGTAACAATAACGTCGTGTGATCTTCAGCTATGGATTTCTAGACTGGTTTAACTCACTGAATTCGGTATGCTTTTAAAAAAGTCTTGGCTGCTTCTCTGAACTCTGCTTCTGTGCGCTACCCCACCGCCCGCCCGCCTCCTTTATTTTGATGTGGTATGGAGTAGGCCTGTCCCCGTTTGGAGTTACAGACAATGTAGCACAGGGCCTTTCACATTTTTATGATGAATTTTGTCAAACCGATAACTGCAGTGTGAGCCACGATGAAGGATTTCATAGCTGCTGTTGTCTGTGGAGGACGGGAGCAAATCATTGTATAAACTTGCGTGAGCAGTAAGCTCTGATGTTCTGAACTCCCACCCTCTGCCATGATTTGGTTCTCACTCCTTAGCGCGCCTTGGCAAACTTGCTCTTCCAGCACTCCTTATCCTGGCGCTTTATTTCCTCCTTCCACACACAGTGAGCTGCCTGCAGCTCTCCTGATAGGATCAGCTTGCATTTTCTCTGCCCAGAATAGCCTCGCTAGTGATTGACTCTGAAAGGTTCTCTCCTGTAAAGGCAAAACCTTGACTTAAAGCCTGCAGTTGGCAACTAAGGCTAAAAAAATTAATGCTGCTAACACCGAATTGTATTAGGACTTCTTGACTTTTGTTTTCCTTCCCAAGAATGCTAATAATGTGCTTAAAACCTTGCTCCTTGTTTAGTCTAAGGGTGTAAATCACTGTGGAAATGTTCAGATGCGCGTGAACAGCAGAGTTGTTATTTCTGAATTGAAAAACTTAACACACTGCAGTTCTGAAGAGCTGTGGCCCCAAAATGTATTTGATTGGAACCTTCCTACAGTGAGTTACAGTGCAGACTAATTCATCAGTGCTTCTCATTCAGCATATCCTTTTCTTGTCCTCTGTTCCAATTTTAAAATATATTAAATTGTCAATCAGTCTGGTTTTTTCCCCCACAGTCTCTTTTTTCCTGAAATCTGGGAATATAGAGTTGGCTACAAATACAATACTGATCTTAAAACAGTGAAACGTCAAGTGTTTGACTACCTCGCAGTAAAAGTCATTGTGAAAAGTGTTGTTGCTGAAAGTGCTGTTAGGTTTATCAATCTTTTTAATGTATTTGTTGGGTCTACCTCGAGTCTTAGAGTTCTGTAACATGGGGTTTTCCATGCCTCTGGAAGATGATCCAGGAGCTTAAGAATTGGTTTCCTGTTTGCTTTTGCTAGGTCCTGTGAAAAAGGGCAAGGAGCAAAACACGGAGCGCAGCTTTTTTCTCAGAATGAAGTGTACGCTGACTAGCAGGGGAAGAACAGTGAATATAAAGTCTGCTACCTGGAAGGTAACTAATGCAAGGAGGACTGATGGACGTTGGCAGCTTCCTCTTTAGATGTCATAACTCACTGTATTTCACCATTTTTACTTCATGTAACGAGCTTGAGTTTCACTAAGTGCTTAACTGATTTAATGATCGTGCTTCAATACGCTGAATTTTAATGCTGAATACATCACGGGGGTAACTGAAACAATGTTTTAAAATTAGTTTTTCGGAAGTCTTTCAATGAATTCCCCATTTTAAATTAGAGGTCATTAACTTATTAGAAATTCTGATTGCTAAATATGTTTGCGCAAAGCCTTCTCTGTGAACAAATGCCTGACACCACTGATGCTGATACCCGATTTCTTCTGGTTTGACGCTGCAAATGTGACAGCTGAGGTCTCTCTGAAGGACTCCAGTACTGTTCATGCTGAAGCTGCTGGCTCTGCCTTTTGTAACAGTTGGAGCAGAACGAGTCCAGCCTGATAACTTTCTGCAGTCAATGCATTTTCTCCTCTGGACAAAACGTAACCTTTTACTGCATCGAGTGGCATTATGGGTCACACTTTTCTTTTACAACTTAAATTTAGTTATTGTGGATTAAACAACTTCCTTGCTGCTGTCTTGACTTCAGAATGGTTAAAAAAACCAAAAACCAACCCCAAACCACAAAATGCCAAACCTCTTTTGAAGAATGTGTTTGATCTTTTACATCAGTTCTGCAAAAGATGTAAAATGGAGGTTGCTACATTGCCGTAACTTTCAAATTGAAATAGCACGATACCTTCTGCCGAGGCAGTTGTTTATCAGTGTCATCATCAGTGTAACCTTCAAAGCCCGGCTCACAGCAGTGCAGAAGAGCCTAACGCCGCTTCAGCCGGCGCCCGAGAGGAACACGTTGGTAGCCGGCGAGGTGTGCCTGTCACGGTGCAGAGTGAGCACTGCTGCTCTCCTGCAGCCACCCGTCCGAAAGCACTGCTGCCCTGCTGGTGCTGCTATCGCTTTGAGGGGTGGGGAGGGGAAGGACTTTGCTTCGGGTGCGCTACTGAAAATACAGCTGTGTTGTCTCACGGGCAAGAACCTGCTCTCTTTCTAAAATACAACTTTCCCTTAGGTACTGCACTGCACTGGACACATCCGTGTATACGACACGTGCGGTAACCAAACGCACTGTGGCTACAAAAAGCCTCCCATGACGTGTCTGGTGTTGATCTGTGAGCCTATTCCTCATCCATCAAACATTGAGGTCCCCTTGGACAGTAAAACGTTCCTCAGTCGTCACAGTCTCGATATGAAATTTTCCTATTGTGATGAAAGGTAATCTATAGATATATATCTATAGATATATCTGTATATATATGGAGAGAGTACTTTAAAAATAATTAATTTGAAGGATATACGGTACCTGGTACATGTTGACCAATGTTGGCAGTATACATTTAGGTAGTCTTACTTGTTAACTTGATTCATCTGTGCAGTGGAGTCATCACTGGGATGCTTTGGCTTTTACTAATTGATCAGGACGTCTTCTTTAAGACCCAGGTTTTTAAATCTGAGGGTATGGGGTTATTACTTTGGAATAAAGCCTTTACCTGCAGTTAACTGCCTGTTCAAACTGGTCTTTAGCATAGTGGCAGCAATTAAATTGGAATGAGAAGATACTTCTGGACACTGAAAAAACCAGGAAAGATTTTGTTTGTTAAAGATGGTGGTGCATTTTGGTGACTGAAAAGAGTACGTGTGTAACACTTGTCAGATGCCTTTTATTGCTACCACTTCCCCCCTCTCCCTTCCTCAGGAGATCAGTGTCTGCTTTCTCTAGCCCAAAAACCCCCACAACTTCAGCTGTGCTCGTAATGCAGTACAAGTGCTGTTGAAAACGTGGGTTTGTGTTCTGGTACAAGTCATGGACGTAGTCACATTCACAAGACTGCTCTTGCTATGCTCTAGAAACCTAGCTTGATAAACTTGAAAAAACAGGAGTGAAGGAAATTATTGGCCTGAGATTTGTATGGTGGGTGGCTTTTTTTGTTTGCTTGGTTTTTTTAATGGGGTATTATTTGTTATTGCCTACGAAGAGTTTTCATCACAGAATCGAACTTCTAATCACTTGCTGCAGTGTAGACGCAAAGAGGTGTTTAGCGCAGGTTGTTCTCTGTCCTCTGCAGTAACTGCCTTTACGTGACTGATGGTGTCACACAGAAGGTACCGATTCAGTCACATCCTGCGTGCGGAACAGGGCACAATAAATGCATTCCCCTGGTTAGCACTGCCCTCTGGGGGCTGAGGAAAACACGGCTTTCCTGAAAAGCTGGCAGGGGTTGACAGCGAGAAGAATAAACCTGAGTCCTAATTTCTTTTAGTTGCAGCTTTAAAACGTGTTTGTTATTTTATGAAATGCTCTCATTTCTGTAAGCTGGGTGTTCTAGTCCATACGTAGCTGGTCTACCTTTAAGCAAAAAAAAAAAACAGTCTAGAAAGTAGGGGTTTACTTAATCTTGTCCACCATGGACAAATATTCAATGAGAAGTAAAATCCTCTGCCTGCTGAAATTTCTCTTTTAAAGAAGCATAAAAAGTAGCAATTAATTCCAAAGTGAAAACTCCCAGTAAACCAAAACTGCTACCAATGTGTATGGAGGCGACTCTTTGGATGCTTGGACATCCAGAAAGATCCTGATGCTCTAGTGTTTGTGCTAGCCCATGCCTGCTTCTCTTCACTGATGTTTCTTTTCCCTTGTTTTAAAGAATTACAGAATTGATGGGGTATGAGCCAGAGGAACTCCTGGGTCGCTCAATCTATGAGTACTATCATGCGCTGGACTCTGACCATCTGACCAAAACACACCATGACAGTAAGTCCTCCAGCTACCAGCCATGAGAGCAGCAGAAGAACAAGAGCTTTCTCTTAATGTCTCTTAATTTTCTGTATGTACTTATCTTAAAAGGTTTCATTTTTTCCTCTCCCTGTAATTAAAGCTGGTGTCCTTTCTGCTTTTAGTGTTCACAAAGGGGCAGGTGACAACAGGACAGTACAGAATGCTCGCTAAACAAGGTGGCTATGTCTGGGTTGAAACTCAAGCAACTGTTATCTACAACACTAAGAATTCTCAGCCACAGTGCATAGTGTGCGTGAACTACGTGTTGAGGTAAGCGGAGTGGACACTGCTATTTGTCATCGCTTGGGCTGAAGCTGATGCCAGGTACTAATGGCACTGTGTTTGAACACGTTATGATGTTACTCTCTTTCCTACCAGTGAAATTTTTGCTTAGGAAACTGCCAGTCCTAGGATTAGGAATTGTATTTGAAAACAGAAAACGCTTTTTTGGTCAGTGGGAAGATCTCTGCAGGCAAATGAGTCCAGGCCCAGCCTCTTCTGGGTTGTCGTGACAGAAGCGTTTGGGAATTTGTGTGCACTCCAGACAACTCTGCAGTCTGGAGCAGTTAATTTCACTAATAAGTCTTAGTCATGGAGTCAGCAGCAGAAATGGTGTCTGTCTTAATCCCATTTATTTTTTCCTTCCTTAGAATTCCTTTTAATTGAAACCTTCAACTGAAGGCAGACTTGTCGACTGTTCTCTGCAACTGTGTAATCGTCCTAAAGTAGTTTTTCAAAACTGTAGTGAATGTACCAATATTAATCTTTCAACATATTGTACATTAATTTAAAGCAAAGAAAATTGGTTTAGGACATATCTAACTTCTATTTTTTTTCATTGCTTTCTCAATGATTTCAGAAAAGCATGTTTATTTTTGTTACTTCTTTTGATGGCACCACAATTAGTGCTTGCTTTGCCAATTACTTTTGAGGAAAGAATGAGTAAGAGAAAAAGGAATTCTTATAGCTCCTATCCTGTTAATTGTGGGGGGTGTGTGATGTTTTTGGTGAGGTTTTTTTGCAACTTACGGAACTGCAAATTTACTCCCTTTTAGCTGTTCTTTAACAGTCATCCTCCTTTCTCTGACAGTGGAATTGTTCAGAAGGACTTGATTTTTTCCCTTGGACAAACTGAGTGTATGTTGAAACCAGTGGAGTCTCCCGAAATGAAAATGACCAAAATATTCAGCAAAGATGACCTGGATGACACCAACAGCCTTTTTGAGAAACTTAAACAGGAACCAGACGCTTTAACCGTGCTGGCCCCAGCTGCTGGAGACACAATTATCTCTCTGGATTTCAGCAGTAATGGTGGGTGTGCCTTTAAACCGGAGAGCACGCGAATTAGTGAAGTCAGTGTTGTACAGTAAACTCTGAATAATAACCTACCCTACCAGCGTCACTCGCCTAGTGGTGGTTCAGCCGCTGTTTAAACTTAGTGAGGCCCGTAGACACGCTCAGTATTGTTACTTAGATTGATGGTTTCTTTTAATTTTTATAGAGTCTGATGAACAACAATGTGATGAAGTTCCTTTGTATAACGATGTAATGCTCCCCTCATCCAGTGAGAAATTGCAGAATATAAATATGGCAATGTCCCCACTGCCTGCCTCTGAAACTACAAAGCCACTTCGTAGCAATGCTGATCCTGCACTCAATAGAGAAGTTGTATCAAAGCTGGAGCCTAACACAGAGCCACTCGAACTTTCTTTTACCATGCCTCAGGTGCAGGAGCGACCAGCCAGCCCTTCTGACGCAAGTACCAGCCAAAGCTCACCCGAGGTTAGTTCTGTCACTTGGATACAGTCAGTAAAACGAGTGTGGTGCTGGGGCTTGTGGAGCACGTCTGGTTCAAGATGCAGCCGAGACAAGAATTTAGAGTAATCTCTGAGTTGTGACCTAGTTCAGCTCACGCCGTGATCTGAGGAAGAAGACAGATACATTTTCATACTGAAAATGCTTTTCATTAGTGAGTCTTGCAAACTCGTGCAGTGCCACCTGAAAGAAATAAAGAACCTGGGATTGGTCTCTATAAAAGAATGGTTCAGAGACAACTTTAGTAAACAGCAGATTAGTTGCAGTTAATTACAGAGACTATTTCCAGGTTCCACCTAATCATGAGCTTCCCAAGAGAGGTAAATTTTAATGTATACTGATGAGTGTACTTTCCTTTCCCACTTTAATGTTGTGCAACTATAGCTTGGAATTAGTTTTCCGTTAGAACATTCTTTTCAGAGAATCTGTAGGTACAAGGCAAAATGATGTAATGACAGAAACCTAAAACTGCACTCACCGTGTTTTCACAGCCCAGTAGTCCCAACGACTACTGCTTTGATGTGGATAATGATATGGCTAATGAATTCAAACTGGAATTAGTGGAGAAACTCTTTGCGATAGACACAGAAGCAAAAAATCCATTCTCTACTCAGGTAACGTACATTAACTTAAAATTCTGTATCATCTTAATACTTATTGTGCTTCTCTTTCTCTTCGAATGTCTTCAGGAACCCCTTTCATCTTCTATGTAATACATTAAAACAAATTGAAAAAAGAAAATTGTAAGGATTTGGTAAAAGGAAAAGCCTTAATGAAGCCGTGAAGTTACAGCTGAGATGGTCTGACCTATTTGTAACTTTTTACCTCTTGCGTTTTCCAGGAAACTGATTTAGACTTGGAGATGTTGGCTCCTTACATCCCAATGGATGACGACTTCCAGTTGCGCTCCTTTGATCAGCTGTCTCCGCTGGAAAGCAGCTCTTCCGGCCCTCAAAGTGCAGCCACCATTACCATATTTCAGCAGACTCAGACACCACCAAGCACTGCTGATGAAATAAAACCAGCTACAGAACGCGTGGATGATGTGAAGACGATAATTGTTCCTTCATCTCCTGGCCACTTAATCAACGAAACGAGTAGTGCCCCAGCGTCACCGTATGGGGGGAACAGGAGTCGAACTGCGTCTCCGATCAGAGCAGGAAAAGGAACAGTGGATCAGACGGAAAAATCCTGTCCGGCAACCCCCAGTTTGCTAACAGTCACTCTGAACAAAAGGTATTCTCAAAGTGAAGCTTAAGCCCTAGTGTGTGTTCAAGAAATGAGATACAATGCTTTTTTAAATACTGCCAACTGCTGTACGTTGTCTTCAGCGTTCCACTTCAACGTAGAAATTGAAATTTGGGAATTTCAAACACGTTTGGGGTTTTTTTGTACAGTAAGCTTCCCTAAAGTTAATGTCACCGTAGCTTTTACATTAGCATCTCATGGAATAGGCAGCTGCTGTACGCAAACGGTGTTCATGGATTTGTTGTGGTTCTGTACCTGACACGCAGCCTTTTCCAAAGGATGCAGCAGGCAATTTACAGGCAGTTATACCCACACCGTACTTCTGGTGGGGTTTTCTTGTCCCCTTGTTACGAGGTAGGCAGCACTGCAGTCTGTGTGTTACCTGTATTGCTTTTAAAATGGGATGTAGTTCATAATGATGGACTGTGGCATTTGTAGATGAGACAGAAAATCCTACAAACATCAGACCTTTGATACGCTGAAGCTTTATCTGTACGTAGAAATAATGCAGAATAGACTTCTCCTCACCCTTCCCTCCCTTCTTTCTGTTGAAAGTGAATTGTTGAACTTTTGTCCTTTTTTTTTTTCTGCAAAGACTTGAAAGTTTTTGTTATAACTCATTCTGAGCTTCACGGCAAGATTAAAAGCTAACATTTGCTATGCTTATAGACGGCGATTGTTGAAATGAGTAGATGATGAAAGAAAAGTAGCACAGTTCATAAATTCAGTTCTGTGATATTATATGTAAGTGTCCACAAAAGAAGAATGGCCTGAGGGTAGTAGAAACGTCTTAACAGCCTGAATCAATTTTTCTTAGATCTACTGCACTGGATGAAGAACTAAATCCAAAGATGCTAGCTTTGCATAATGCTCAGAGAAAACGAAAAATGGAACATGATGGTTCACTTTTTCAGGCAGTTGGAATTGTGAGTTTTGTTTTACCATTTTAAAATATTCACTTTTAACCTTGCAATTTCTGAATGAGGCATCAGTGCAGACCCCCGAGTTTAGCTGTTGGTTTGCAGTGGAATCGTGGGATCAGAAGCAACAGTTTGATAGCGCAGTTCCCACATAAATGCGGATACTCTGATTCTCTTTCACTGTCGGGTGTTTCACAAGTGCCCTCTATACCCAAGCACATCTCTTGATTAGGTAGAAGATGCTCTTCTGCGAGCGTATGTTCTTCAGTAGAATATGCACAAATGTAAGATACCCCATTTAAATTTATAATTGCCATACTTAGTTCACTTTTGAGTTTAAACTCAGTTTTCCTATTTGTCAATACTGGAGACAGTGTTCTTACGCTTCTCTCTATGCTTTCATTTTTCTATGGAGTCTGAGAGTCCTTTTTTCGATCAGTTAACAAGACCACCTGAACTGTAAGGGAACAGAATTCACATAACCTGGCAAATGTACATTACTACCACTTTTATTTCCTGCACGCACTCTCTAGTATTAGCGTGCCTGGTTGTGAGGAGCACATCATCTGTCCTAGCTATTCAAAAGAAACTTTAAGGTATTCTTAGACTTGTGCCACTTAACTGGGGCTATGCACCTCGTTATTTTCTGCAAGGGTATTTTGTCTCCATAATCTCTGTCACCGTCAGCTCTTGGTATTTTGAGATCTTGAGCTTTGCCATTACTCGCTGTTCTCTCTTGTCTTCATTGCAAACTCTCACTTCTCTCAAGTTTTGCACAGTCAGTCATTAGTTCCTGTACTGCAACGTGGCCTGTGGAGACTCTTGTCTCTCTCGTGGTCCATCTCCTAGGTGTAGTCATCCATTATGAGCTAGGGTGCAGGATTTTCTTTCTCTTAAACTATGAATTACTCCTGTATAAGCATTCTGCTTTGGGCATGAGACAAACCACTGTATGACGTACGTCAGACAGATGCACTGTATACTCTCATTGCTCTCCTAGGAGAGCTGCAGACACTTTTCTTTGTCCATTGTTTTTCTTGTGGCAAGCATTCTTTATATCATGTTTATAGTACTGTTTTAATTTGCTAAATGCTTTGCACTTCCATGCATGTTGTTTTGTTGCTTCCAGTAGCCCTGTAAGAATTCACAGCTCTCCAAGAAGTTTCATTGCCTTCTTCTCATGCAATGGTGCTACAGCTGTCATACGGTGCTGCTGATAAAATACTCAAAACAGCATGGGATGTCATGGACAGTTCTGTATTAACTGCTGTAATAGTGTCCAGGCTTCCATGCTTAGTGTCTTTTTACTGCTTACATGTTCAAACTTCATCCTTAGCTAAACCTTTTTCTTTTTTCCATACCTGACAAAAGCGTTATGTATGTCTGGATGGTTTCTGCACAGCCAAAAGCTGAATTTTCCATGTGGCTGGGTCTTACTGATGTTCCTTCAAGCAAGTGCTTCTGTTGTTTGGTTTCTTTCTCCACAGTGGGTTTCTGAGAGGATGAACTGGGCCGTGCACACGCACGGCAGAAAAATGATGTTAAGTCTGGGTTTAGAATATGTGGTATTTTGGGATTGTGAGAACTTTCCACAATTTCTTAGCTGTAAGGAAGTGGGGCTTATTTTGCCAAGAGTGAAAATAAGTGAAGACCAAAGTACTACTGAAGTTTTCTAGAAAACAGGAGAATTAGACAAGGGCAAGATGTGTTATAGCAAGACACTGAAATAATGATCCAAGTCATTACACTGAAGAAGATGCCAGCTGTATCTTTCTTAAGATGAAGGGCTGTATTGCATTCACAGTAAAAACAAGAGTAATAAACCAGCAACAGCGTCGGTGGCCGACTTTACTACGAAATGCAGCTTCTAAGTCTGAGTTGTTTCACTATTCCATTACACAACTGTCCTTTTGACTTGCGTGGATGTTTTATAACCTGAAAATAGAAGTTCTCTGCTATGTTAAGGGTCCGGGATGATGGCAGCACTCTGAAATACCTTTCCCTCTTTCTGCAGCAGTCAGCACTGCTAACAAGACAGAACTTTGCAGACTCAACTGCTTTTGCTAGCAAACTTGATAGTAAGGTGGCGTTTTTTCCTTCCATCCCATCTGTTTCAGTGGCAGCTTCTTCTTTCTTACCCTGTTTATGCGGCGCCCTTAAAAGCTTTCTAATCTCTGCGTCTTCTATGCTGCTGTCAGAACAATACGCGAAGGAGCCGTATCTGCAGTGCAGTGGCTTAGGGCTGCTTTCCCCACAGGACTTGACTCAGATGGCTTGGTGGCAATAACTGGAGTGCAAGCAGAACTTATATCTTAAATGCAGATAGAATCAACCTATCAAGGTTCCCGAATCTCCTGTCTACACCATTAATTCCAGTGCAGAAAACCATGAGACACTCAGTGAAAACCTGATGCTTACTCACACAGAGCAGTGGTCATTAAATGGGCGTGTGTGTACATGTACATGCTAATCTTGAGCATGGTAGCTGCTGATAACCAGGGCTTAGTAAGTGCTTTCTGTAAGGGAAGTAAGGTCTTGAAATCTAATTCAGTTCTCTTTTAAGTAATTTTCAAGGCCAGTATACTTAGAAATGTATTTCTCCCCAAGTTCTGACTGAAGTCCACTCGAAGTTGTATCAATGCCGACATTAGTCATTAGTGACAGAACTGTTAGGGTGGAAGAGGGATGTGGAGGGCTAGAAAGATACCGGATTCAATAAAGAAGATGTATTGTATTTCTTCCTAGGGGTCTTTATTCCAGCAGACAGGTGACCGTGGAGGAAATGCATCACTTGCTTGGAAACGTGTAAAGGGATGCAAAACAAACGGTCGTAATGGAGTGGAGCAAAAGACAATCATTCTACTATCAACTGGTCAGTATCTGCTTTTAATACATAGAGGGGAGTGAAGGGGGGCCACGTGAAAGAACCGAGTGACAAAACCGTATCCAAACCCACCTCCTTTACGAACAATTTTGGAGGAAAGGTTAAGCATCGTGAATAAAGTGCGCTTTTTCTCCTTCCCCTCCCTCTTTAGACATAGCCAGTAAACTGCTAGGGCAGTCGATGGACGAAAGTGGACTACCCCAGCTCACGAGTTACGACTGCGAAGTAAATGCTCCCATCCAAGGCAACAGAAACCTGCTACAGGGGGAAGAACTGCTCAGAGCTCTGGATCAAGTTAACTGAGCTTTCACAATACTTGTTCCTTTCTTGGACACTGGTGAATCATCACCTAAAGCAGTCTATTTATATTTTCTATATCTGATTTTAGAAGCCTGGCTACAGTACTGCACTAATTCAGTTAGTTCAGTTTTGATCCCCTTTCTACTTATTTTGACAGTCTTTTTAATATGTTCTTTACCTAACAGTAACTCAAACTATAGCGCATTTTTATAATCCTTTGGTACATGCACTCTTAAGTCCATTACATTTAAAACACATTTGCAATAGCAGCTTTGAAATATGCACCTGGTTGTAAAAGAAAAATATTTATTTTTTGGCTGGGGAGTTGGTCACCAAAACTCATCATTAGTGAAACGTCAACACAGGAAGAACTGGCAATACTTCCATCCTGCTCTTCATAGGTAGCTGGAAAACTCGTGCGCTCTTAACTCTTTATGTTCAGATAAGTTTTTTATTTTAATAGTTTTTATAAGAAACAACAATGCTTTTCAGCAGTGCATTGTAGCCACAATCGCACAATATATTTTCTTAAAAAATACCAGCAGTTCCTCATGCAATATATCCTGCATTTATAAAACCTAGTTTTTAAGAAGAACCTTCTTTTGTTTGCCTACGAAATCATGTTTAAACCTGGATTATGTCATTATTTTAGTCACTTGTAATATAAATTGTTCTTAAATGCTGTCTTACGCTTTTGACTTAAATGAGTGTGGTTAGTCAGAGGAAAGGCTTTATCTGGAAAGGGCTAGCAGCATTTCATTTGGATACGTTCTCAATTTAGAGAGTTTGATGTTCTTAAAGTAGTCACTTTGCCAGCTTAAAAAAAAATAAATTCCCTGCCTGTAGTTGTTGAAGTTAACGCTAATATTGTATATGATCTTAAGTCTAAATGTTCAGCTTACCCTGTGTGGTATAGGTGATATTTCAAGCAGACTGTAAAACATCTTGCGTTGTTAGCAGAGTTTTATCTAGTACATCATTGAGTTGCTCAATATTTTGATGTCTTGGTTTTATGCACCTTGTTGCTATTAAAATCCATATGTTTTCATGTAGATTTCAATAACTTGAATATATTTAGAAGCCTTTTTATTTAGAAATATATAGTTGTCACACACATCTTATTTTCCTTTATGTACTGTACAAAACCTCCATTCACTCATCCTTTTGCTCTTTGTGGTTGGATCTAACACTAACTGTATTGTTTTCTTACATCAATAAACTACATGTGGACCAGGCCCCCTTGGGGAGTGTGTTATCTGGGAAATGAGATAATTTATATTTTTGTTAGTGGTTCTTGTTCATCCGTGTTCCCTTTTGAACTTTAGAGTTGATCGGAAATCACCGCTTCCTCCTTTTGATTGTACCATCTCCGCGTTAATTATTTGAGCCTGTTCAGTACTGGAGTCTCCTAGACACTGTTGTACTACCGCTCGCCAAAGATGTTCCGTTTTTAGACCTGTTATCACACCAGTGAGCAAACCTGACGCTGACAAGACGGTGTATTTGTGTTGCTGCAGAGGGGAAAGATTCTTCCTTACCAACCGCTCCGAGGCTTGGCTCTGGAAGCTTTATCAAGGTAACAGTGGAAAGCAGGAAACAGTAAAATTCACAGGAGTGATCAATTGAGGATGGATGTTTATCACAAAACTGCATGATTCCAAAATTCAGTTGGTACTTAATGATAAAAATTGTTGTACGTTCTTGTGCTGTTGACTTTAACTTTGGCTAGGTGACTTTTCTCATTTTGCTGTCATAAAAAACTGCTGATACAATCTTGTAATATGTAAATACGGTCAAAATAGTCGTGCGTTCTTCAAACTACTTTAAAAAAATCCCTTATCTCAGTGTAAGAAATCAAATGTGGAGTGTCACAAGAATTATTCTGGTTTTATTTTGAAAACTTCAGTTTCACTGGACTCGTGTCTGTTGAAATCAATGTAATAGCACATAAGCTTAACCTGTTTTTAAAAAATTATTGTTACTGTTTCACTGAAACAAGCACTTTTCACTGTAATAAACTAAAGGGAGAGTGCCAGCTACTTGTTAAAGATAAGGTACTGGTAGCAGAAGACGGTTGTATACTTAAGGTTTGAGTAGAAGGTGCACAAAGAGAGGAGAAAGCATGTAGGTGCACTGAGCTAGAGCTGGAGAAAGAACACCTTGAATAGATACACCTGCTACTGAATAATATTCAGTAATATAATATTTTTAATGCAGCCTTTAAGTGCACAAAGTCTAAAAAGGTCTCTGGATAAAACCAGCAGAGCTACCGCATAGCTGCTGCGTGAGGGCTCTTGGTGTTCTTTGCGTGGCATCTCTGTCAGCAGTTCAGAGGTTTAATAGTGAAGTTGCTAGAGGCTTACGTAAAGCACCAGCTGTTGGGGCATCCCCTGTGCTCAGCTGCACATGGATTGAGTGATGCTGCTGTGAGACACTGAGGAGTCCTGCAAACAGGAGAGGTACAGCTGAGTTCTGCTGCTTTTACTGCCCTGGCAAGCTCAGGGCTGGCCTGCTGGGTTATCCCTTTTCATGTCCCATGGGAAACTTCACAGCATCCTGCCTGGTGGTGGTCTGCTGCTCTCTTGACCTTACTTTGAAGGAGCCTGACCTGTTTGGGTCTGTGAGTTCCTCTGCTTCAATTGAGGGCAGTAAATTTGCATAGAGGAAAAACTTAAGTGACCAATGTGATTTACGGTTATGAGCCTGCTGGAATCTGGTCTTAATGACAGCTGTGGACTTAAATGAGCCCTGTTTCATCTAAGAATCTTCCCAATTCTAAGCACATTTTTAAATTCTATAACAAGGCACAGCATTTTATTTACTGCCCTGGTAAAAGTGACTGAAACAAGTAACTAATGGAGTGAACTGCAGTAGCTGCAGTGGTTTCCTCTAGGAAAAAAAAATCCACCAAACCAACCAACCACAAAACACCAAACCTCCTAAAGACACTGAAGAAGCTTATTTTGGATAAACTGATCAGTTCTGCTTCCAGTGAAATACAACTGAAATAACTGCCGGTTAAACTACTGCATATGTAATAGTAATTTTACATTATTGAAAAAGCTGCTTAATTAAACAGCTGAACGATGAGCAGAAATGTGGGCTGTTCCACCAGTGCTTCGGGCAGTACCCTACCACTGCCAACCAGACTGGAGCCGGACACGGGCACCCATCTGCTCCCATCCCTGCTGAGGAGCTGCTGCTGAGCAGGGCATGCATCTCCCAAATGGTGCTGCACTTAACACATCATTCAAACTGGAATTGTCCAGCATGAAAATGAACTTTCACAGGCCAGGAGTACTTTGTAGGAAGACCATTTTCATAGGAATTCATGCGAGTTGGGTATCCAGCTTTCATTAAAAATACCATTAGCAATCAGGCACTTGACTCCCTGGAAAGCTCCAGTCTGGACAACTGATTTTTGATCCAAATTCTAGAAATGAGTAGTCATTTTCCTTCTGCTTCCTCATTTACCTTGAGCAAGGCTTGCCAAGTTACCAAAAAGTTAAGAGAGTTTGCTACTGGATTTATACAGTATGGTAGATTTTGTGAATAATGGCAGTATTCTCTCATAAAAAAGTGGTATATTTTAATGGAATTCTTTTTTGAAACCAAGTACAACATACTGCGATTGATATTTCTCTTGAAACATTTTTGACATACTTGTGACTGTATTTCTTTTTGATTGTGTAACAGTATAAAATTCAATAAAAGAGAGGGTTTGTTTCTAATCTGTGATCTTTCTGTTCATCTGTTATCCCCTATTTTAAAGGCAGAGATGGCAAAACCACTTCTTAAAGTGAACAGAAGCACCACTGTGCAGCATAACTAATGCTCCTTGCCTGTTTGAGGTCTGATTTGCCTACTACTGAAGTCAGAAGCTTTGACACTAAGATGATGGAGGGAGTGGAGCATCTCCCTGATGAGGAGCGGCTGAGGGAGCTGGGGCTCTTTAGTTTGCAGAAGAGGAGACTGAGGGGAGACCTCATTCATGGTTATAAATATTTAAAGGGTGAGTGTCACGAGGATGGAGCCAGGCTCTTCTCGGTGACAAACAATGATAGGACAAGGGGTAATGGACACAAACTGGAACACAGGAGGTTCCACTTCAATTGGAGAAGAAACTTCTTCTCAGTGAGGGTGACAGAGCATGGCCCAGGCTGCCCAGAGAGGTTGTGGAGTCTCCTTCTCTGCAGACATTCAAAACCCGCCTGGACGCCTTCCTGTGCAACCTCATCTGGGTGTTCCTGCTCCGGCAGGGGGATTGGACTGGATGAGCTTTGGAGGTCCCTTCCAATCCCTAACGGTCTGAGATTCTGGGATTCTGTGTGAAGTGTACTGGGGTCTGTTTTCCAAAAGCATTTATAAACTCTGTCTTGCCCTCACAGCTGAATCCTGTTCACTTTAAACACTATGGTTATCCCACCTGAATTAAGCAGACTGCATGCATGAACAAAAGAGATTAAACACACAACAAGGTGGACATCAGGGATGGGATGGTGTAGGTTTTCCTGTGAGAAGCAAAAGGGTGAGCAACAGATACAGAGCCAGAGGGACAGAAAACATTTATGAAACGTCTTTGAGTAATCACATCAAGAACGCCCTTAGTAACAAAACAAACTCGTTGGGATCCAAGGTGACGTCTCCAGCTGATTTCAGCTGCTCGCAGTACATGCAAATAACTTCACGAGAATTCGGGACGTTCTATCTCATTAAATCAACACTGCTTCCCATTGCACAGATTAACAATCTTTTGCAATGTGTTTGCTTGCTTGGGAAGTCTGAAGGCAGAAGGGATATGCAAGTGCTGTCACAGTACAGTATAATCCTGTCACTCGGTATTAGTGATAGGGTTGAACATACAGGAGTTTGAATACAGTATTTAATAAGATATATCCATGATTTATTTTAACGTTTCCAATTTGAAAATGAGTTCTGATACAATCACACAAGGTATTAAGAAAAACAAGGCATTGCCATGTGCAACTGCAGAACGCCCTGTTGTTTATAGCTGCCCAGGATAAGTGACTTTTTAACTTGCAATTTGTGAGCTAGGAATTAACACGGCAAACAGGACTTCATCCTTCTGTGTAGGAGTTAAATAAGGATAAAGAAGATGCAGTAACCAGCACACTCTTCCTTACATCATCTAATCATTTTTTAAACTTTTTGTTTTTAGTTTGGAAGGCAGCCTATTAAGAATTAAAACATGCTAGTGAAAAATCTAAAAGACCGCGAGATGAAAACCCATAATCTATCACGAAGTGTAGAGTATTAATTAGGCTAAAAACGGACACTGTGTTTCACTGCAGACTCTACAGAAGGGGAGCTCTGTGAAGAGACCCCCTTGCCTTTTTTTTTTTTTTAATTCCTTTGCATTTTCATTCTTTACACGGTAGCCAAACTTTCTGAAAGGAAAGACTTAACACGTGTTAACGTACGGGCACATCACCTCATCCTCACTTCATCTTACACCATCCTACACAAAAGTGTCTTCACACGCAGCCTCATATACCTCAGGGAAAAAAAAATCCATCCAGTGTTTTCTGAAACGCCGTCTCTGAGAAATCACAACGCTCACTGCACACTTAAAATACAAACATCATCAAACACACTCAAGCTTTATAAATTCGGCACGACTCCAGCAAACTCGCTCCACGATGTGTCAATTATTAACTTTCCTGTGCTTAAGCACATTGAGGGAAGCACGTTATAACCATTTCCCCAATAGCCGCAGCATTCTGTTTCAAAATCAGTGCAGTCTGTTGAAGACGGGGTCACGTACCGGACAAACAGGGTCACTGCCCCACGACTGCCTCTAAACAGGAATTAAGTGATAGATGAAAACGTCTTTTCAGAAAAAGAGCCAAACCAAAAGCCAGCAGGTGCAGCTCTCCCCCTGCAGCTGCTAAAACCTGCCCGAGTTCATGTGTAGTAGCTCTGCTAATGCCTCTGTTCCTGTGATCAATGCCAGTGGCAGTCAGCGCTGCTTACAGACATCAGCTGTTTAGCTGATGGCCATTCATTTCCTACTCATCTACAACGGCTGCTAAAGGATGGATTGCAGCGACCTTTGGGGAAGTACAATAAATACAGAAAAATGCTTTCGTGCCTGAAGCACTGTGGAAGCTGCTATCATTGTAGGATCTGACAGCTTGAAGCACCTAGAAAGCTAGGAAAAGAGCGACCTTTGGATCAATCAATTGATGCTAATAGTGAACTGGAGAACATCACGGTACCAGAGCCAGCAGAATTTCAAATTCATTTTGCAGTGCATGATTATTTGAGAAAGCGAAATGTGAAGTTTTCAACCTGGTCACAGAGCGAAACTCCTGCGGGTTTAAATATCCCAAAGGCAGCACCCAACGCACCATCCCATGAGTATTCCCTACTTCCTCTACGTGCCATTTTCCACCTCTTCAGGGTGAAATGATGGTCCAGGGGCCATCTCCCACAAGCAGAGTTCACAGCCCTCCTCTTCCCCCACGGGTGCAGAAGCGTTCAGCCGCTCTCCTGCCGAGCTTGGGGACCCGCTCCCCAGAGCAGGCGCTGCTGGTTCGGCTGCTGCCGCCCAGCCCCGCTCCCACAAGACCGCAGCCCGGCTCCGGCCAAAGCCCTGGCGACCGAGGCGATTCCGCCCGCGGGCGCCGATCACCACAACGACGCCCTAAAACCCTAGCCCC